TTTCAAAAACAACATTGTGTTAACATTTATCTTGTCTATAAGACTTGACCATGGTGACCCTACAGAGAGAAAGGGATTCAAAGCTGACGTTCATCAAGATGTGTCACCATTACTTAGTCATTTTTAGAAGACCTTGGAAAAGTTCCTGTTTTGTGCTGTAATCCTCTGTGCACTAACTTTCCAAGTCCTGCTTTTTAGTTGTTTGATTTTCATTTTAGTTTCATGTATGCCCATTTTTTGAACAGCACAGCATGATGATTTGAACATTGGGACATTCACCCTGACTAGGCGGGACAAGGAGATGGCCATGAAAATCCATTAGTTCAGTGGTTCTCAACCTGTGGGTACCCAGATGTTTTGGTCTTCATTTCCCAGAAATCCTAACAGCTGGTACTGGCTGGGGTTTCGGGGAGTTGCAGGCCAAAACACCTGGGGACCCACATGTTGAGAACTACTGCATTAGATGAGTAAGTCAAACTCTCTCAGCCTCAGAGCAAGTCAAAGGCAATGCCCCTCTGAATCATGCCAGAACATCCCATAAGAGATTCACTCTAGGATCACCATAAGTTGGAAATGATGGGAAGGAACATAACAACAACAATGTCCATTTGTATTATAATCTGACTTTAACCACTTTAACCAACAGGGATTTTGTATATATTACAAGCAAATCAGAGCCTCCGGTGGTGCAGTGGGTTAAAGCGCTGAGCTACTGAACTTGTTGACCCAAAGGTCACAGGTTAGAATCCGGGGAACGGACTGAGCCCCAGCTTCTGCCAACCTAGCAGTTCAAAAACATGCACTCCGTTGAGAATGTAACAGTGCTCCATGCAGTCATCCTGGCCACATGAACTTAGAGGTGTCTACGGAAAACTCCAACTCTTCAGCCAAGAAATGGAGATGAGCACCAACCCCCAGAGTTGGACATGACTGGACTTAATGTCAAGGGAAAACCTTCACCTATAAGCAAATCATATTAATGATACTGAATATCAAACTTTCCATATTTTTAGAGGAAGGGGTCTAAATAACCCAAAGCCACCAGATACCCTCTGATTTTGGAAGCTAAGCATGGTCGCTCTGGTTGGTACATGGATGATAGATCACCACCAAATATTAGGTACTCTAGTCTATATTTCAGAGGAAGGAACTGGCCAAACCACCACTAAGTATTCCTTGCCTAAGAAAACCCAGTGAAATTCTTTGTGTTACTACAAGTTGACAGGTGACTTGAGTTCTTTACTGTATTCACTGCCATAACCAACCACTACAAGCTAACAGCACTTTGGGGTGATCAAGTGATAAGAAACGCATGGTATTTGAAGAGGAAGCTCATGGAGTTGCACAAACTATGATGTCCCAAGCAAGTTTCATGAATGAACAAATTTGTTCTCAGTGGTATATTTGCATAATGTTAAATTCTAGTCTTTGAAGGTCTTATAACCTGCCTCCTTTATATGATAATGTGAATTTATTATTTCATTTACCCCTGGCATTGGTGAAGTATTCCCATTACAGTGGGGGGTTGTTTCACTTTGAATGTCCGTCTGTGGTGAGTCAGCTCTGCTGGGTCTGGTTCCCCTCTGTCTCTTTGGAATGCATGTGGCTCTTTTTGCTGTAAGTCTTGCCCTGATAGCATCACTGCTTGCTCTTCTGTTAAATTGTAATTCCATTACATTCTTCCTTTACACTTTGCTCATCTGATTATGTGCCCAGGTTATGAGAAGCATTCTGTTCCCTCCAGAAAACTTGTCCTTCATGTAAGAGATGCAATGAATTACGTTGTGCTGGACTCTGAACCACACAAGCTCATGCCATAGTAAATGTGTCAGTCTTTCAGAGGAGTCACAAAATGTTCTGTGTTGGGTTGTTGTAGGTTTTTCAGACTATTTGGCTATGTTCTAGAAGCATTTTCTCCTGATGTTTCACCTGCATCTATGGCAGGAACCTCTGAAGATGCCTGCCATATATGCAGGCAAAACATCAGGAGAGAATGCTTCTAGAACATGGCCATATAGCCTGAAAAACCTACAACAACCCAGTGATTCCGGCCATGAGAGCCTTTGACAATACATTGTTCTGTGTTATTTGCTTCAAAGGTCTACTTCTCTGGGCAAAATTCTCATGCTATACGTCTTTTCTCCCATGGTCATCTATCTCCACATTCCTTGCTGGACCCTTCAAATGTGCACATTCAATGCTCAGTTTGTATCATTTTAACCATGTGGTTGTCTATCCAGATATTGGTGTCCTTTCTCCTGCTAATGTCTTTGACGGAAGCTAAATCTGTGTAGTTCATGTTCTTTCTCTTGAGATACTTTCTCATTCACATTTTATATATAATTTGATTTTTAAAATAAACTAAGCCACAATTGTGTTGTCGAAGGCTTTCATGATCGGAATCACTGCATTGCTGTGAGTTTTCCAGGCTATATGGCCATGTTCCAGAAGCATTCTCTCCTGATGTTTCGCCCACATCTATGGCAGGCATTCTCAGAGGATGTGAGGTCTTTTTGGAAACCATTATCTCCTGACATTTTGACCACACCTATGGAGCTTGAGGGGTCTATTGGAAACCAGGCAAGTGAGGTTTATATATCTGCGGAATGTCCCGGGTGGGAGAAAGAACTCTTGTTTGCTTGAGGCAAGTGTGAATGTTGCAATTGGTCACCTTGATTAATTCACCAAGGCCATTAAATGCTAATCAAGGTGGCCAATTGCAACATTCACACTTGCCTCAAGCAGACAAGAGTTCTTTCTCCCACCCTGGACATTCCACAGATATATAAACCTCACTTGACTAGTTTCCAACAGACCCTTCAACCTCCATAGCTGTGGTCAAAATGTCAGGAGATAATGATTCTGGAACATGGCCATACAGCCTGGAAAACTCACAGCAACAAAGCCACAATTCTAGGAGGAATGAACATGCAGAAAAATAGCAAGACAAATACAATGTTATAAGACCAGAGATCTGGATCTATCACAGACTATGGAAACTCAATGACCAACCTCAATTTGCCAAAGATCAATAAAATGTTTCTAGAGGTCAGGCACAAACCCAGGGCCTGTCTACACTGCCATATAATCCGGATTATCTGCTTTGAACTAGATTATGTAAGTCTACACTGCCATATAATCCAGTTCAGAGTAGATCATCTGGATTTTATATAGCAGTGTAGAAGGGGCCCCCGGGCTCTTCCACACAGCCGTATAACCCAGAATATCAAAGCAGACAATCCCACAATATCTGCTTTTATCTGGGTTATCCGAGTCCACACTATCATATTTTTATCATGTCAGAAGCAAATTGATAATATACTACAAGTCGCTTCTGGTGTGAGAGAATGGGTCGTCTACAAGAACATTGCCCAGGGGACCCCGGATGTGTTACCATCCTGTGGGAGGTTTCTCTCATGTCTCTGCATGGGAAGCTGGGGCTGACAGACATGAGCTCACCCATCTTGGATTCAAACCACCAACCTTCAGGTCTTCAGGTCAGCAGTTCAGCCAGCATAAGGGTTTAACTCATTGTACCACTGTGGCTCCCCCACACTGTCATATATGGAACACTGGAACACTGCCATATCTTCCAGTTCAAAATATAGAAAACTGCCATATATTCCAGTTCAAAGCACATAATGTGGGATTTTATTCAGCTGTGTGGAAGGGACCCCAGTTCTCCCAGATCGATTCCCAAAATTTATTTATTATTTATTTATTTCCTATATTTATACCCCACCCTTCTCATCCTCGAGGGGGGGCTCAGGACGGCCTGACAAATACACCATATGGTATCATCATAATAAAACAATCAACAATGCATTAAAATATAAAATATAAAACAATAATTAAAACAATTCTGTGACAGAATTCAGATTTCAATCAGCATACTCTTAAAGACTATAGAGCCCCATAGACATATATACACATATTTCTCTGCAAGCACCTAGCACAGATGTTTTTCATATAAGAACACACACTCATTGATTTGCCTTGACTCCTGAAACTTCAGTTGTATCAAAAATCACATCTCCGCAGTTCACAGTGAAGCATGACATTCAGAAACCTTGCAATTATGAGGGATAGATAATATGTATAAGCAGAAAAGTAATACTAAATGCCAAAAATATGGTAGGTTGTATTGAATAATATGTATCTGCGGTAAAACAATGTATAACAAATGTATTAAACCATGACAAAATAATAAAAAAATATTATACAAAAAAAGAAAACCTTGCAATGAGCAGAGAAAAAACAATGGGTGGAGGGGACATATGTAGTTGACTGCAACTGATATACTACTGGGAGACTAGCAATGTGAATGTATTTCCCCCCAATAAGAATCCTGGAGCCCCCGGTGGCGCAGTGGGTTAAATTGCTGAGCTGCTGAACTTGCTGACCAAAAGGTCGCAAGTTTGAATTAGGGAAGTGGGGTGAGCTCCCGCTGTTAGCTCCAGCTTCTGCCAACCTAGCAGTTCAAAAGCATGCAAATGTAAGTAGAACAATAGGTATCATTCCAGTGGGAAAGTAACGGTGATCCATGCAGTCATGCTGGCCACATGACCTTGGAGGTGTCTACGGACAATGCTGGCTCTTTGGTTTAGCAATGGAGATGAGCACCAACCCCCCAGAGTCGGACATGACTGGATTTAATACCAGGGGAAAACCTTTACCTTTAAGAATCCTGTCCATGTGAACTGGTCATCGAGCCCCCAATTTTCTTGGAGTTTCCTTCTAAATGCTCAGTTTTCCAGTTGAGCATTTAGTAGGAAACTCCAAGAAAAAGGGGACAGGCAAAGTTATGAAGGGGAAGTTAACAGGGCAAATATAACTATTCAGGTGTGACAGGTTTCCAGACTTTTGGGGGGCATTTCAGAGGGTGGGTGCAATTCTTATCCAAGCAGGGAGCCTGCCCTGGTTGTGCCCCCTTCCTACAGCTACCCCACTCTCTTCCACAAACACCCTGGGTAAAAAAACAAGCCGGGGAAAGGACTTACATCGTGGAAGATGGCCATGCCTTTGCCCAGGCGCTGCGGGGTCTCGGTGGGTTTGGGGCTGCTGTAGGCGTGCTTGGCAGAGAGCAAGCACATTGTCAGCATCTCCGTACATGCCATCATCTTGTCCCCAAGGAGGGATGGCTGGCTGGCTGGCGGCTTCCTTCGCAAATGACTGCAGGCTCCTTCTTCCCGGGAGGGTCTCCCTCGCCCCCAAGCTGCCTGCTGCTTCCCACGGAGGAGGCTGTGGATTCAGGGACAGAGGCGGCAGTGCTGCAGGACTTGGAAGCGGCGCGCAGGGAAGAGAGGCTCCAGACGGCTTCTAGGCAACTTTGAGTGTGTCTGTGCATCTAAAGGCCCGCCCTCTAGGCTTTCGCTTGCACCGATTGGACAAGATCTTTGACAGGCAGGTGGTCTCGGACCCGCCCCTCCCCATCCCCTCATCATTCAGACAGAGATCGGGTAGATTAGTGGAAAGCAAAGCAGGTATGAGCAAACTTCGGCCCTCCAGGTATTTTGGACTCCAACTCCCACAATTCCTAACAGCCTCCGGCTGTTAGGAATTGTGGGAGTTGGAGTCCAAAATACCTGGAGGGCCGAAGTTTGCCCATGCCTGGTGGAAAGGTTGCAGGCTGAGTTGCCAGGAAGGACACCATCCAAGCCCTTCCAACAAATAGCCATTCAGCCTGTCATTGAATTGTAGAGTTGTAAGGGGCATCCAAAGGGCATCCAGTCCAATCCCAATCTGCCAGAAAGGACACAAGCCAAGTCCTCCCAATAGATAGCTATTCAGCCTGTTATCAAATCGTAGAGTCGGAAGGGGCATCCAAAGGGCATCCAGTCCAATCCCAATCTGCCAGAAAGGACACAAGCCAAGTCCTCCCAATAGATAGCTATTCAGCCTGTTATCAAATCGTAGAGTCGGAAGGGGCATCCAAAGGGCATCCAGTCCAATCCCAATCTGCCAGAAAGGACACAAGCCAAGTCCTCCCAATAGATAGCTATTCAGCCTGTTATCAAATCGTAGAGTCGGAAGGGGCATCCAAAGGGCATCCAGTCCAATCCCAATCTGCCAGGAAGTACACCATCCAAGTCCTCCCAACAGATAGCCATTCAGGCTATCATTGAATCATAGAGTCAGAAGGGGCACCCAGTCCAATCCCAATCTGCCAGGAAAGACACCATCTAAGCCCTCTCAACAAATAGGCATTCAGACTGTCATTGAATCCTAGAGTTGTAAGAGGCACCCCAAAGGGCATCCAGTCCAATCCCAATCTGCTAGGAAGGATACCATCTAAGCCCTCCCAACAAATAGCCATTCATACTGTCATCGAATCATAGAGTAGGAAGGGTATCCAAAGGGCATCCAGCCCAATCCCAATCTGCCAGGAAGGACATCATCCAAGCCCTACCAACAAATAGCCATTCAGACTGTCATTGAATCCTAGAGTTGGAAAGGGCATCCAAAGAGCATCCAATCCAACCCCGATCTGCCAGGAAGGACACCATCCAAGTCCTCTCAACACATAGCCATTCAGACTGTCATTCAATCGTAGAGTCAGAAGGGGCATCCAAAGAGCATCCAGTCCAATCCCCATCTGCCAGGAAGGACACCATCCAAGCCCTCCCAACAGATAGCCATTCAGCCTGTCATCAAATTGTAGAATCAGAAGGGGCATCCAAAGGGCATCCAGTCCAACTCCAATCTGCCAGGAAGGACACCATAAAATATAATTTCTTTCTGGTCCCAAGCATTTTGGAGAAAGGGATACTGATCCTGTATGAGCTACATTTCTAATCTGAATAAAACAAAGCCAGACTTTTTTACTTGAGGTGCATCTACAACAGGCATGGACAAACTTGGGCCCTTCAGGTATTTTGGACTTCAACTCCCACAATTCCTAACAGCCTGTGGGAGTTGAAGTCCTAAACACCTGGAAGGCCAAAGCTTGCCCATGCCTGCTCTAAACCCAAATCCATACCCTTCATTCATAGCACTCTGAGGGAGCATCTACACCACTGGTTCTCAACCTTCCTAATGCCGCAACCCCTTAATACAGTTCTTCATTATTTTCGTTGCTACTTCAGAACTGTAATTTTGCTACTGTTATGAATCGTAATGTAAATATCTGATATGAAGAATGTATTTTCATTAACTGGACCACATTTGACACAAATATGCAATACACCCAAATTTGAATACTGGTGGGATTGGGGGGATTGATTTTGTCATTTGGGAGTTGCAGTTGCTGGGATTTATAGTTAACCTACAATCAAAGAATATTCCAAACTCCACCAACGATGGAACTGAACCAAACTTGGCACACAGAACTCCCATGACCAACAGAAAATACTGGAAGGGTCTGGTGACCTTAAGTTTTGGAGTTGTAGTTCACCTACATACAGAGAGCAGTGTGGACTGAAACAATGATATATCTGGACCAAACTTGGCATGAAACATCAATATGCCCAAATGTGAATACTGGTAGAGACCTTGACCTTTGGGAGATGTAGTTGCTGGGATTCATGGTTCACCTACAATCAAAGTGCATACTGAACTCCACCAGTTATAGAATTGTGCCAAACTTCCCACACAGAACCCCCATGACCAACAGAAGATACTGTGTTTTCTGATGTTGTTTGGTGATCTCTCTGACACCCCCCTCACGACCCCCCAGGGTTGGGAAATGCTGATCTACATTGCTGAATTTCCCTTATTCTGAAATACTCCAGAATCCCAAACTATCCACACGAATTGCTGAGAGAATGGCACATCTGCTTTCTCAATGTGCACAAACTTTGTTTCATGTGCAAAATTGTTAAATATACCATGTATACAGTTACCATCCAGCTATGTGTATAAGATGCTTATGAAAAATAAATGAATTTAATCATAGATCCCATGTTTAAAACGTATCAGCGTCTATATGCAAATATAGGTATTTCAAAAATCCTAAACGCTTCTGGTCCTAAAGATAAGAGAAACTCAACCTGTAGAGGGTTTTTCTCTCTCCATAAAATCAAGAATGCATTGGTTTGGAATAATAACAAGCAACTGCAGCTAGAAACTCACTACCATGAAAACAATAGGAAAATAATAAATGATGCCTTACAATGTTGCTTGAAATACATCAAGAAAAGAGGGGAAATTGCAAGACCCTATTAAGTGAATGTGAAGGTGTTAGTGAGGTCTCTTGTCCTACCTTTCTTTATTACACTGCTTTAAAATCAAAATCCGCAGAGCTATGTTAGAAAATGCAGGCTTACACCCACAATACTTTCAAAGTAAAATGCATTATATATATATGACCAAACCTGAGATATAGGACATAGGTCAGGAGGAAGAGAGTATGGCAGGGCTGTATACTTTCTCCCTACCTATTCAACTTGTATGCAGAACACATCATCAACATGCGGGGCTTGATGAATCCACGGCTGGAGTTAAAATTGCTGGAAGAAACATTAACGACCTTAGATATGCAGTCAGAAAATCAGAAGATGTTTACTTCTTGAGGAGGAGAGCAATGACCAATATCGATAAAATAGTGAAGAGTAGAGACATCACACTGGCAACAAAGATCCACATAGTTAAAGCAATAGTATTCCCCATAGTAACCTATGGATGCAAGAGTTGGACTATAAAGAAAATAATAATAATAAACTTTATTTATATCCAGCCACTATCTCCCCAAAGGGACTCAGGGCAGCTTACAAGACACTCCAGGGTGCACATATAATATACAACAGGTAAAAACGGTGCAAAAGTATAAAACAAGTCACATAAAATTGTAACAACAATAATAGGCTGAGCGAAGGAAGACAGACACTTTTGAACTGTGATTTTAGAGGAAAATTCTGAGAGTGCCTTGGACCGTGAGAAGATCAAACTACTCCATACTCCAGGAAATAATGCCCGACTGCTCACTGGAGAAAAGGATAATAGAAGCAAAGATGAAGTACTTTGGCCACATAATGAGAAGACAGGAAAGCTTGGAGAAGACAATGATGTTGGGGAAAATGGAAGGAAAAGGAAAGAGGGGCCGACCAAGGGCAAGATAGATGGACGGTATCCTTGAAATGACTGCCTTGACCTTGAAGGAGCTGGAGGTGGCAGAGAGCTTTGGCGTGGGCCATGAAGTCACAAAGAGTTGAAAGCGACTGAACAAATAAACAACAGTAGGAAAGGAAATTATTTCTCCTATTCTACCATCATTAAAACCTTTACAAGCACAATATGTGGTTAAGAATTCCCTTTCATCGGTTCACTGTAGCTGGTTCCTAGGGAAGTGTATAGGGGAGACTGCAGACAGCTTCTATTATTTCTAAGAAGGATCAGATATAATAGCTTTCTGAATGCAGACAGTCTTCCTTAACTATAGGTTCAGCATCCAAGGAATCAGCAACCACAGCTCAAAAATATTGGGGGGGGGGGGGATTGGAGTCCATACTATGGAGATCCTAGAACCAAACAGCAGCCAAGGGCCTATTGTAATCTTTGTTTGTGTATGTGCTTGATCATTTAGTACAATGTTGCCTGGCCATTCTGGAAGGCACTCAACTGCATTAGAGTCTGGGTGGCCCCACTTGCCTGAATGCCTCAGGGGCGAACTGGCTCTCCAACTTAGAATCCTAGAGTTGGAAGAGACCTCAAAGGCCATCCACTCCAACCCTCACCATGCAGAAAAACACAGTCAAAGCACTCCCAACAGATGACCATCCAGCCTTTGCCTTAAAACTTCCAAAGAAGGAGACTCCACCACCCTACACAACACTGTCAAACATCTCGTACCATTAGGAAGCTCTTCATAATATTGAGGTGGAATCTCTTTTCCTGCAGTTTGAAGCTTGTGCCCCATGTCCTAGTCTGTAGGGCTGCAGAAACCAAGTCTGCTCCATCTTCAACTGGGGGGGGGGGGGGTTTGAATCTGTGCTACTCACATATTAAAGGCATGTGATGGTTTTCACCTTTAAAGCCCTACATGATTGCCTTCTCCCATGCAATCCGCCCCATATACTTCAGTCTTCTGGGATGCTTCTGCTCCAACCAGACAGAACCTGATTGGCAACCACCACCTAGAGGTCCTTTTCATCGGCCGCCCTAAGGCTGTAGAATGACCTGCGGTAGAACTCCGACAGCTAAATCAGCTGTCAGAATTTCAGGCACAAGTGAAGATCTGTCTTTTCCGGCAGGCCTACCCAGACAGTCTTTAAATATAAACATGAATTTTAATGCATGTCCTTTGTTTTGTCTGTTTTAATATGTATTTCATAGATATCTTTTGGTATGTAACTTTTATGGTAGTATGTTTCAGTGGATACACTTGTACTGTTTTAGCTGTGTTTATGTATTTTAAT